CACGCAGACAGACGCTTGCTAAGGGTTGCTCACCGTCGTCCACGTAGTCAATGGTGGAGAGATGCTGGATCCGGCTGCAGACCACGCTGCCCTGCCGCCGCAGCTTGGGGCGCTGTGAGGGAGGTGGCAAGGAGGCTGGGGCCGCGGTGGGGCCAGGCCCGCTGTCCTGGGGGACGCTGGGCTCCAAGGCCTGGTTCAGCTCGATGCAGTATTCAATGAGGCCGCTCATCAGCTCAGCCTGGGAGAGAGGGGCCCACGTGAGGCCTGGGAGAGGGTGGGTTCAGCTGTTCCACACCCACTGAGCCAACCACAGCCCCCTGCTCCTGGGGGAGGCAGATGTGGAAACAAAGACCAGGAGGGGGCACCAGATGTGAGGCTCTGAAGTGTCTAGAAACCCAAGGTGGCAGCCAGAGGGGAAGGAAGGTGTGTCTCCCAAGATGAGAGAACAGAGGACACTGTTGAGCAGAGGTGAGCGACCTCTGGTGGGCGGGGACTGCCCCCTCCTCTGTGACCAGAGAGGGGAGGAGAGGGGGTGCGGAGGTGAGGCGGGACGAGGGAGCCGGAGGAATGAGGGCTGGGGGGGGGGCACAGGGGACGGTGCTGGCCCAGCCAAGCACTGAGCAAGCCCTCAGTAGGCAGCCGCGCTGCCCCGATGCGGCCTCCGGGCCTTCAAACTCGCCCAGGTGGTTCCAGGTCAGCGGGCGGCCAGGCTCCCATCCTCCCTCGGTCCTCACCCACCCCAGCTGCTGAGGCCGGCGGCCTGGAGCCTCCCACAGTCAGCCGCCCCTGCCCGCTACCTGCTTGGAGTAGACCTTGAGGAGCTTGTTAACAGGCGTGCCCTCGCTCTCCCCGTCAAACTCCAGCCACAGCACAGGCTCTTCCTCCTCAGGTGACGTGTGGTCCCAGGACAGCTCCTGGAAGCGCAGGCCGAGCAGGACGTGCTAGGGGTGGGGGTTGGGGGGTGAGGCTGGGACTCAGAGGCACAGAGGCCTGTCCCCCACCCCACTGGCCAGGGCATTGATCCAAGATGGAGTCGAGGTACTTCAATGCCTTTTTCTAAGGAAGGGGTCCCAGACTTTCTCAGACCCCCAAGGGGGCCGGGAACCCTAGCCCACCACACTGCTCACCAATGGGGCATGCCCCTTACTGCTGCAAGTCACATGGAGGAGGGGGGGCAGGCAGGGAGGGGACCTTTTCCAGGGATCAGCAGAGAACAGATCACCAGTGGGGCTGAATCCCTCTCTGGGAACCGAGTCGCCCAAACTCCTGCTGACTTGGAGGGGACCCCGCCCAGGTGAGAAAGGTTGCCACAGGTCAGGTCGGGGAGAGGCAAGACTTGGCCAAGCAAGGGCTGCATCGGCCCAAGAGGGTTCCCAGCCATGGGCCTGTCTCCAGGCCGAGCAGCCAGGCCCTGGGTGCCTCTTCCACTCAGTGCAGGAAC